AGTCAACCCCCCCCCCCCCCCCCCCCAAGAGTGCCGGAGAGAAGAGCGGAATCCAAGCCTCTAATGAGCATCGAAGAGACAATCAATCAATGGAAGTGACAGGAAATGGGGGTGAGATAATCTATACTCACTCATCAGACACATAATGAGGTCTCACATTCCCATAGAGGATTATCCAGCTCAGCTCAAATGGATACAAAAAAAAAAGTAGAAAATGATGTGAGAAAGGAAAAAAAATGAGACACAAAATACCAATAAACTCGACTTTTATATCTGAAGATTGGAGGTTCTTGTGGTAATAAGGACAACTCCAACACTGCAGATGTGTGATGCGCCCTATATATGTCATAGAGTGATGGATCACCTGTTGTAGGAAGGGGTGACCCCGGAGGAGATACACTGCGCACTGTGACAGATACATTATTATTATATATTTCATGAATGTGCGGATTTAGTATCAGCTTATCCCCCTCTGCTAGCGTGCTGCACGTGCAGAAACCTTCCAACCATCCATGACAGATGTGAGATGAGCGGAAGGTAATGGGCTTTGCTGCCAACAGCTGGCAGAATACCAGTTCTGTAATGTGTCTCATTCTGAACTATTAATGCCATGCAAGACTGGCAAGTCTGTCTATCTATCTATCTATCCTCCCTGCAGTGCAGCGGCAGTCCTACTGTAAGGGATTTGTAGTTTCAGCACAGCTGGAGAGCCAAGGTTGCCTACTCCAGCTGTGGTGGAACTACAAATCTCATGAGGCATTGCAAGATACTCATGGCCACAGACATGACTCCCAGAGAGAGATGCATCATGGGATTTGTAGTTTGACCACAGCTGGAGGGCTGGAGTTTGGCTACCCCTGCCCTAGACGAAAAGGAACCATTAACCCTTGCAGTGTGGGAGTAGCCCCACCTAAATGGTTAATAAAGATGTTGCCCATAGTTCTTCCTTAAGCAGCCTGTCTCGAGGATGCCTTCTCCCAGGGGAGCCTCAAAATATTCACACCTTTCCTTGGTGCAGACAGGCAGATGGAAAGGGGTGCTTCGATGTGAAGGGGGCAACCCCACTTTTTCTGTTTTTAAAATGTATACCAGTCCCCTATCTCAGAGGAGGGTCTGGTATGGATGTTGGAAGAGCCACATGTCATTTTCTACATTTAAAGGAGACCATACACCAGTAGAGTTTTGGTCGCTCACTTATAGCTCGTATCCCCCATGAAGCCAAGTCAAATGTTGATGTCCAAAATCGTTCCTTAGCCATACTAACCAACCAATTTTTGACAAACGACGGAAATAAACTCCTTTTGCGCAAGTGCCGTGTTCTTGACGAGATTTTTGATGAAAAAGTGTATATATGCAGCATTAGACTGGGGTGTCTGGAGATTTTGCATGCGTTTGTAAGGGGAGACTTGACTGAAAAAAGGTTGCGAAATGCTGGGCTAAAAAATGTGCAGGTGAAACAAAAACCAGGTAATTATTTTGAATGTATTTTTAAGATTTACCTCCTGAGTCTAGTGTCACTTTAAGATAGAAATTTAGAAATGTGATGCATCCCATTAACCAGCCATCTGTAGGACAGATCACACAGATAAAGGTGATTGTTGTCATGTTGCAGTATTCCTAAATCATGTCACTAAGAAAGATTCTAGGAATGGTCCCCGGAGGGGCGCGATGCTGAAAATAACCGCTATCTTCAACTTATCAAAACAAATGTGGAGAGCTGGCCGTGCTTAAGAAGCCAGCACATTCCCTGGAAGAAGTGCCGGGACCTGCTCTTTGTCAAGTCTACGGCAGGTTGCGCTTCTGACGTGATGCATCCCTCCTTCTTACTGGCACACATTCAGCACTGGTGGCAAGCTTTAAATATCTTCTTGCATGCATTTATCTAATAGCGAAATGGAGCCTACTGCTGCCAACAATAACAAAAGTACCCAGTCCTTTATCTTTGCAAGAAAGTATTTTTTGTCTATTAGAGTTGAGGAGCCGCTGAAATCTCAGCTTGTAGAACAGAAATGTTTTATATATCTTAGAGCAGTGGTCGGCAACTTTGGCAGTTGGCACTGCAGAAGTGTTGAAGCTACAGATCCTATCATCCCTCTGCCTCTGGAAGTCATGCCTGTGCGAGTCTTGCAATACATCATGGGACTTGTAGTTCCACAACAGCTGGCGTGCCAAGGTTGCCCACCCCTGATCTATAATAAGAATTTGCTTTGTTAAAAGGGGCTATCCGTGCACATTTTTGTTCTTGTGCATGTCCCCGGGGGGGCGAGATCTTTCCTCCCTCATTTCCTGTCTCGGTGACACCCATACAAGAAACGTAGGAGTGGTCGTCCCCTAGACAATAAAGGGAAGATAGCAATACTTGTAAGAGTGTGAGTGAGATTTCCTAAATAAATGTAACCCCCAACAAAATGACATTTAGTATGATAAAGCACAGTGTATGATAAACAGCTGGCATTTATTAAAACATTTTATTGCTTTTTTTTTTTCCATTCTATGCTGCACTTTAGTGCCGCTGGTCTCCTGCAGCCACTGCACATCTACATTCACCTCAGTGATGGCTGCATGGCGGGGTTTCTGATGGTGACAACAGTGCACCATGGCTGTGTAATGCGAGTTAAAATGGCCACTTGTAGTCTCTCTACTGGAAGCCCACGTGGCAGGGTGACAATGCTGGAGAACAATTGGGAGACAGCCTGTCCCCTATACACCCTATAACAGAAAATTGTCTAAACAAGGACCTCCAGGCAGGGGAGGACGGGGCTGGGCGGCATTTGTCCTGGGCTATGATATGCTAGGCTGGTAGCCCAAAATGGAGATAATTCCCCAATCAGAGAAGTACCTTTTGACCTGTGATCCCAGCATCCGACAGAGGGAAGGCTTCCAGGGGCAACTTCCTTTGCTGCTTTGACATTTCATAGGACTGAATGGTGAGAGCTCCTACGGAAGTGGATGATGGAAGATGTGCCACACTCAAATTCATCCTGTGCACTGCGACAGCTTTGAGTCCTAATGATTACCCATTATGTTTAAAGCTGAACTCCAGGTATCACTTATTTTGCATACTTGCATTGGTTCAGTGTGGCCCAATGTAAGCAGGAATATGCCGTACCTGATCGGCCGCTGGGAATCTTGTAAAGCTTTGTAGTATTTGGAGCTACTACAGTGCTGGCCGTGATATTTCAGGTCCTGTACTGTGCGGCTGCCCCTCTGCTCTAAAAACCCAGGGGGGTTTCTCGCTCAGCACAGCGGACACTTAGAGAACACCTAGTATTTTTATCTATGAATACAAGGCATTCTCTAATTGGATGAGGGGCATATCTCAACGTTATAGCCCCTCATCCAACTGGAGAATGTCTTGTATTCATTGATACAAAAATTAACATTCTCTGAATGGCCGCTGTGCCTTGAGAGCTACCCTTTGTGTTTCCAGACCAGAGAGGAAGCCACTCACAGGACCCGGGAAATCGCAGCTAGAACTTAGTAGCTTCAGCTTCTGTGCTTTCCAGGATCCCCAGCGACCCATTAGGTATAGCATATGCATACTTACATTAGGATAAGCTGGACCAATGTCACTATGCAAAATAATGCATTTCTAGAGTTCAGCTTTAAGCCCTGAAGAATGGAGGGGGATTTGGGCCCTGAATTGCATGTTCTGTGATGTCATTGGTGAACCAATACTATTTATTAAAGTATCTGTCTGGTGACACAAATCATGATCACATGACGGATGGTTCTCCCAGTATAGGGAATGCAGTACTGGTTAGGGGTTAGAGAAGGTTAATACAGCAAGACATAGGTTTTGCCGCCACTAGGCAACCTAACATCAACTGGTTCACCTGGGAGAATGCAGCCTATCCAGCTCATATGACGTCTTATGGTGTTTTTCCAGGTACTGTTGGGTGTGTCCTTGACTGTCTGAGATAAATGACAGGGGTCATGAAAACAGGCGGGACACCCAAAAACTTTCTAATGAAAAGATAAAAGTTATTAGAGGAGACAGGGCACTGGAATAATGATTCAACAACGGTACAACCAGTCATACATATAAAAGCCATTGCAGTTATTTATGGAGGGCCATTTAAAATGAAAAACAGAAGGCTTAGAAGCTTTGTCAAGTATTATTGTAACTTTTCTTTTGGGGAGGGGGTTCCTTTTATTTGCAGCAGTCTTAATGGAAATGTGAGAAGAGATTTTCCCAATAGGAGCACAGTCTATGGACACCTGCTGGAAGTTCTAATACCCCCAACTCTGTTTGGAGGGTGAAAAAAAACTTTGGCTGGAGGGATTCCTACTTTAAATATCACATTTGGACATTATAACCCTTTCAGAAACCAAAACATAGCTGCCATAATTTTCCTTCTTCCAAATGCTTGAAGACAATATGCATCTCATGAATAAATTATACTCTCAGCACACAGCAGAATGACACTTATGATCCCCCCTCATCATTCTTGTTAAAGATGTCAACAGCACACCATATTGAAGTGAAGAACACGTCTGTTTATTGACGCTTTATGCCAAAACAAATAGCGCTTCGGGACCCCACAGGGTCCCTTTCATTAGGCAGGACATTTCAAGCCTGATGAAGGGGACCCTGTTTGGCCCCCCGGAACTTTATTTGTTTTGACTTGAATCGTCAATAAACAGATGTGTTCTTCACTTCAATATGGGGAGCTGGTGACATCTAACAAGTTTCAGTACTGGCGGCGCCATCTGCGGTCACTTCGAGCACCAACGCTGACAGGGATAGCCGGGTAAGGAGTGCAGCAGGATTCTGGAATACACCCCCTTATTATCCTTTTTCGAAGCAGAAGCTAGAAGAAAAAAAACTCCAGAAAAATTTAAGGTTTTAAAAAGTGTTTTTTTTTGTTTGTTTTTTGTAATTCTAGTTTTTTTTTCTGTATAATTGTACAACAGTTCAAAATGACAGTTTGCATAATAATCTAATTCTATTAACAGCCATTCAAAAAATTGAACTACTTTTTCCAACACTTGCCATCCGGAACAAAATGAAGAAACGAAAGGAAAAAAAAAATTGATCGACCCCTTTTCATTGCCCGGGTGCTCCCAGCAGAAGGCTGCAGGCTAGCAGAGGCAGAGAAAGGGTTAGCTTTAAGGGGAGAAAAAATTAGCAGGGGAGGGAAAAGAAGGTAAGAGGTAAGAAAAGAACACCTGTCATAGGATGTGGTTTTGGTTTGGTACAGCGAGCAGGGTTAACGAGGTGGATTTTCTTCACATTCCTCAAAGCTACTTGTGTTTCGTTGCAGCATCAAGTCTCCGTCACTCCACCACATGCTCAAGCTTTCCTAGGACAAAACGGGCTTCTGATGCTTATGTGTCGTGAAAGTCCTTTAGCAAAGTTCTCCTGCGCTGCTCAGCTATATGCATCTGGTTTTCCAGGTCCTGTGGGAGGAAAAAAGGAGAGAGGGTGATGATGGTCCATTGTCACTGCAGACACAACGGTGCCCAAAGACTAATGCGTGATGAGATTTGTAAGCAAGACCTGACCCTCATCAAGTACCTGTGCTGTTTCCGATTTTACAATTGGGGTGGCTAAGAACTTGCATGACTTACAGCTCATCAACGGTCAGAAAAGCCACTCATGAGTCTGAGATGCCAAAAGTGAAGCGTGGAAGGGGACAATACTGGAGGTGCAAAATACTGTGGGAAAGGCGGCACAATTTTGTATGCTTATGTAGGCAATGCCCCTGGACTTTGGAGCTGCTGCTGGCTACAGAGGACTTCTCTAAAGTAAATCTGTCAACCTGGTTAAAGCTGCAGTGCCAAATAAAAATGGCATCTTTGTACCGACAGTAAAATCCTTTTCTCTGAATGAATTGAAGCAAAAAGGAATTGAAACCTTTGTGTTATACTTGTGTTATACTTTGTGTTATATACACTTGGAAAAAAAATCAAAAACCCAAAAGCTTGATGGCCAGCCCAGGGTCATGTACGTTTTTCCATCTGTTGTGATGAATGCGCTGCTTTAACGCAGCACACGTTAACACATCAAAAGAGAAATCTAAAGTGAGAATGGGCCCTGAGGACTAGTCCACACCCAAACTGCGTGCATCTGCAATTCGATGCATTTTGCCGCGATTGATGCGCTTTGGTTTTTTCTTTTTTGCTTAAAATGGGACTTTAGGTGCGTTAGTGCGTTTTAACGCGTTCCGTTACGAATTGGGCAAGCAGTCTTTTTTTCTGACTGCATCGGAAAGGACTGCACTGGTGTGACTAGAGCACCAGAAATCCCATAGGAAGGCATTGAGATATATTTTGGCTGCAGCAGCCAAACTGAACGGACTGCATCACAACTGCATCTGGCGTGAAATAGCCCTAAAAGGTATACTGAGCGATCTTTCTAACTGCATTAAAGTTTTAACATTTCCTGAATTGCAGAGTTCACCGTCGGCTTTCACTGGCTGCTTGGAGCGATCTTCAGCACATTATAGAAGAGTAGGGCCACACATCTGTTGTACCTGAGACTGACATATTCTGGGATTGCCCTCCATCAATAAATAGCCTAATACAGGGGATTCTGAAGGTTTGTGATGAAATAAAAAGGCCGTAAAAGTTTATACTGAAAGCTGAATTGCTCAATATTAAAATTGTTGTCACTTAGTACTTACCCCTCTGTCATAACTGTCTGCTCTTTCCACTTTCCATGAAAGGTTCTCAATCTCCGCCTCTAGCTGTGCCTGCTGATACTCAAACTACAAAAGAAATTACAGGGTGTTAAGCAGACAGCGCTGAGTGTATTATGGAATATGATTTATGTCTGCAACAGACAGGAAACTAGTGCCAAGACACATCAAGGATAATCAGAAGTGCTGTATTACTGCCTGCAGTGACAAGAAATATAAATAAAAGGTGTGAATAAAGTCTAAGCAAATCATTACGGTAACATCTGCAGCCAGTCAGTTCATTTGACATTTGCTACATCAATGGGAATGCAGCCTATCCATAATCAGAGACCAAAAGCATGACTAAAAATGCATCCTATCTGCTCACCAGAGACCAAAAGCATCAATTTGAATGCAGCCTATCGGCTCACCAGAGACCAAAAGAATCAAAGTGAATGCAGCTTATCCACTCACTAGAGATCAGTGACATCACTGGGAGAATGCAGCCTCTCCATTCACTAGAGATCAGCGACATCACTGGGAGAATACCGCCTCTCCATTCACTAGAGATCAGGGACATCCCTGGAAAAATGCGGCTATCCATTCACATGTGATCAGTGACCTCTCTAGGAGAATGCAGCCTATCCATTCACTAGAGATCAATGACATCTCTGGAAAAATGCTGGCTATCCATTCACTAGAGATAAGAGACACATCTGGGAGAATGCAGCCTATCCATTCACTAGAGATCAGCGACATCTCTTGGAGAGACCAGTGATATTAATATCATAACTTTTAAACGGAACATGCACAATTGCTGCTTATAATGCAAGGTATGACGGGTCCAGTACTTACGAGCTTCTTTCTGGGGCCTGACTCCATGTAGTAAGCATAGGGATATGTATATTGCAGAGTGTATCGGCACTGGAAGAGAAGGAGGAAAATGTCAGTTGCAAGCCCTCGTATTTATCTTGAATATTTAATACATGTATTCACCTGTCTTATAAACCCATACCAATCCAAAATGATGTGACAGATTATAGTGCAATCCACCACAAAACTGGCATTTTAGCTTTAGGCAGATGATGGAGGGATCGAGCTGAACTTAAAGCAAGCAGCTCAATATGTTTAAAATAAATAGAAAATGCTTTACCCAGCAAAGGATTTAATCCATTCTTTGGATCCAGGCAACCCCCTATGTCAGAGCACATCTAGCTCAGTGACATCGCTTTTCTCTGTTACAGTTAAGCAATGAGGCCTGGTCAAGAACACACCTCCAGCCTGCTGACTTAATGATGGAGAAATAGCACACCACTGAGGTCACGCCTAAGCACTCTCCTCCAGTAAGCATGTTTACAGTGTTAGAATGAGCCAAGCAACAGAGCTCTGTCTGGTTCAGGGTTGTCCTTCCCTCTTACAACCTGAACACTGTTGTGCAGATGATTACTGGAAGCTAATATAAAGACACATTTAGGTCCTTTATACTTGTTGTGTAAAGCCCTGTGATGGAGGCTGAATCACGGAAGGCAGTGAATACTCTCCTGTAGCCTAAACTATACTCCCATACAACTATACAGCTGCAATACAAGTAATTACCAAGAGATGTCAGTATCACACTGCCATATACAGAAACAGTAGTACAGGCCATATCTTCATTCAGGCTGGGTTCACAGCATTTTCCGGACCAGATCTGGAACATAGTGCATTGCATTTTTTGCAGCGATTGTAATTTTTATTTTTTTTTAGCTTAAAATGGTCTTACAGGTGCGTTCCAGACGTTTTTGATGCGATCCAGTGCATTCCAGACCAGACAAAATAGGACAAGCAGTATTTTTCTGGTCTGGAATGGACTGCGCTGGTGGGAACAGAGGCCAGAAAAAGCATAGGGATACATTGGGATGCATTTTGGGTCCGGAAACAGTCTGGTCTGGAGGTAATCTGGATGTGGTGTGAATGAACCCTCAGTGGCAGGGCCGGTGCAAGGATTTTTGCCTACACAGGTGAAGGTGGTTTTTCAGGGGTAGCCCCACTGCAAGGATTCATAAAATGGACCTCTCTCTGACAATTAACTGCCTTTTTGACCTGTTAAATACACCACTGAAAGTAAATTTAGAAACTCCTTTACACTTGACAGCCCCATAAGCCGTTCAGCAGAGTTTAAATAAGAACCTTAAATCATATGAGAAACGGCCAGTTTCCCGACTTACCTTTGCCAGCAGTTTGGCAGCATTCTGTAGGTACTGCCAGTCAATCCAGGTGCCAAGGTTGTTCATGACCCGTTCCTGGATCTTTTCTTGGATTTGCTGGTAGGTCTGGGCTTCCAGCTGCAGACTTTTATTGTGATTCTCCCACTGGTAAAAAGACATAAAGTCAGAGTATGTTAAGCACGTAGCATATAAATCCCGAAGTGAGTGAGCCCCTGTCATGTGCTGTCTAAGCAATTGACAGGTAACTTGGCTGTCATGAGATCAGCACAACCCTGAGCTAAAAAAAACTCTGTTACTGGGATACTTCAACCCTTTCATCGTGTTTACAGCTTTTCACTTACCTTCAATCCCCCCTTCCTAAATCAGAACATTGTCTGGTCACAGGCTTCTGATACTTAATGCAACAGCTGTAGGAAAGCACGTGCATCTCAAATCAATCACATATACAACAGACTAATGCAATATTTAAAAGGAAAATCTGAAAAAGTGCAGGAATTAGGATGTATGGCCGCTAGTGTAGTTCAAAAGTTCAATTTAAAAAAAGAACAAAGCAAAAAATAGGATTTTTGTACACATCGCAAAATCCTCTCTTGTAGTCCATTGATGGGACACAGGACATCTTTAACCTTTCGGGTTATGCAGTTGGCTACGGGAGAATTGTACGTAAACAAACAAAACCTGTAGGCCCGCCAATGGTATAACCCTTCCTACTATCAGCATGCCTGCTTTGTAGCAAAATATTACTAACCGCATGTTTATAAAACACAGAGGCGTGGGAGCTGTGTTTCTCAATGGACTTTATGATGAGTACACAAAAAATAGTTTATTTCTGATCCATTGAGGGACACCGCAATACTTTAAAGGAGAATTATGAGGCGCGTGATTTTCACTCAGCCTCATAATCTGAGCCAACCTCTGACAATGAAACGGTCACAGGTCGGCTCAGTAGATCGGGATGTGAGCGAACACATACCGGCGCTCGCTCACTCACTTCTCAGAGCCAATCAACCCTACGACATGCACATGTAGTGGCAGGGAACAGGCTGACAGGAGTTGAGGACGTAGTGTGCTTCTGCCCCTTTATTGTCCAATCAGGAGGTTGGAGCCGGGGGCGGGGGGACACTATTGTATTCTTTAACTCTCGGAAAGTGGTGTCACGCTTCTGGCTGTGTATGACTCACAAAAGGTGGTTGAACGGAATTACAAATTCTTTGCCAGATCAGGCAGTTCGAATGTGTATTTAGTTTCTCGCATAGAGTACTCATGACTTTAATAGTGTGATTGCACTACTAAAAACCATCTGACATTAATAAAGTGGCCTCCGGCCCTCTCTTACCCTCTCAAAGTAGAAGAGATATTTCTTGAGGGCCTCTCTAGCCTGGGCCTGCTGACTCTGGTTTACAATGTCGGGATTCTCTTTATACCGGCTGCACTCATAATACTCGCTGCCGTGTGTTTTCCAGTCGCCAAGGCACATCCAGCAAAAGTCTAAAAACACAAAACATTGTTACACCGCAACTTTTCAACAAAACTCTGAGCATTTAATGAGTTTTATAAAGTACTCATCGTGGAGCATTCAGACATGCATGCATTATACACACAACAGATTTCCCCAATTTATTGTTTTCCCTATTTTACTTATCTACAATTTAAAGGATAAGTGCACTTTAATATAGGGATGAACCAATACCAAGTACCGTACTCGGTACAAGTACAGATACTTTTCGAGCTCCCAGACTACACTAGAGAAAAATTCAAAAGTTAGGAGGCAGCTGTCATTTGTACGGAGCACACGGCGCTCCCGGGATTTGTACATCTCTGTTTTAATGTATGATTTTGTTTTTATAAATATATATTAGTGATGCACCGATACCATTTTTGCAAGTACAAGTATTGATACTCGCCTAAGTACTCACAGATACAAGTACTGATACATTTTTGTTTACTGTCATGTGACAGTTTTTCTAGAACAATACAGACTAATGATTTCTGGACAGTGGTGGAGCGCCAGAGCCAGGTCCCAGCTGCAAACGCTGCAACCCTGGTAGTTCTCATGAAAATGACAAGTATCGGCACTGGTATCTGAACTGGTATCGGAGCATCACTACTTTAATACAAACACAGTTTTTCTTTTTATCCTAACCTAAACTACTCTCCCTCTCCACAGATACATTATCCTTTAACTCTTCCCTTTTTACTTAAATACAAAAATATTCATTTTCAGCTGGGAGTCTGTCTTAGGTTTTATTTCACTGGTTTCTCTTAGTGGCCAGTAAACCACACGACTGCTTCTTTCACTCCTTTATCTCAGCTCTAGCATTTTGTTTTCTGCATAATTGGCAATGAGCATGCTTCTGAAGGTGCCCATACTGGCTAAAATTCGCAGTGTGTGGGGCTGTCAGCTCCCTTTCAGGCGGCATTCCTCAATTAGCTGATCGAAGGAGCTTGATGGAAAATCTTTGTGCGATCAGAGCCAGCAGATGATGAGTTGCCCGCTTTGAGCCGACGGCCCCTGTCAGACTACAATGCAAACCGCGGCGATTTCTCATTCGGCATGCTGTTTGTGTTGATGGAAGAATCATGTCAATTGACAGGTGTATGGCCAGCCTTAGAGAGAAACGTTCACTTTGCCCATTCAGTGTGGAGTGACAGTGCCTTCAGAAGGCACTGTCCCCACCCCAACAAGTTATACTCACCCCTCTGTGCTTCCTTGCCACAGCCCTGCTTCATCACAGCCCTCACTCTGTTGCTATAAAGGAGCGCCCTTTCTGGTATGTGGGGACATGCAACAGTGCTAAGGCCTGAATAGCCAGTTACCAGACCAAAAGCTGATATGTAGGTGGGTGAGATGACAGTGGCGTCATCTCCCTGGGTATGATCAAACAACATCTAACACCAAGTGTGGACTGTAATGGGGAGGCATGCATGGATAACCCAATGTAACAGCCAACCTTCTAAAAGTCATTTTTGCATAGGGCTACGTACGCCTCTCCACCCAGCATTTTTTTTTCTTACAGGACTCCTGGGGCACATTAGGGTAGCAGATGATGTAGAAAGATAGGAGCATCTTATAGCACCTGCTATGTGGCATCTCTCTTAACTTTGTCTAGTTTATCCCAAGCACAGGTATACTTTTATTAGAACAAGACAGGTAATACAAACTTAAAAAGCAGATTTGTTCTCTCCTCTGTCTTACAACAACTAACTCTCCTGAAAGGTACACTTTAATGGCCCCATAAACAAAACAGAGATCAGTTAAGATACTTACCATGCTTGCATTTCGAACATTGCTGCAAGAAACAAAAGAAAGTATTACAAATTTCTCAAGTCATTTTACTACCAAGGTAAGATGAATCTAAAGACCACACATGAAACATTTAAGAAAGCAGGTCATGTATAAAGTAAATGTAAACCCACTTTTTTATTTTTTAATCATTTTTGATAGAGTAGGGAAAGGTAAAATCCCTGTCCAGTGGGAAGACTTCCCGTAACTTCCTGTCGTATAAGCACAACAGGAAGTGAGAGGATATCTCTCAAAATTGATGGACAGCTAACAGCAGAACCATTAGAAGACTTTCAATTTCTATTCCTGTTCTGGCGAAATGTTAGATTTTCCTTTATTTTCAGTCTCAAGAACAATGACCAGAAGGGCAAATAGAGAAAGTAAAAATTGCAGAGATGGGCAAAATTGCAACTGTTTTATAACTGGGCTGAATGATAACCCTTCTCCACTCTACGCACTAGTTTTTGACTGGAATTCCACATTGGATACAATAAAACTTGAAGAAATGCCATGTGAAAACGTTGTTTACAGCAAACACTAGGAAGACAACTGGAACCTGGATGGATGCTATGGACAACTATTGTGGTTGCTAGGTTTATTTTTCAGATAGCGGATAAATTAATCACTACAATATTTTAAAATTACAAAAACAGAACTTCAATATGATCACAACATGATGAATTCTTGCTTTAGATATGTCATACTCACCATGTGATTGCACCCTCCATTTTTTTCAATACAAATATTGCACTTGGGACACTGGCAGTGAAACAGAAAAAACATATATAAATATATCGGTGATATATAATATCACCGAGAACACTTTAAGACACTTTATACATCTAACAGACATTACAATGCTTGCAAGGTTAAACCCCAACCCCAGGGTGAGCACCCCTTAGGAAGTAAGGCGCTGACCCTATGTCTTGCACATAACCAGGTATTTCTCTGCAGCATTTTTAAAGAGACAAAACATGGGGGGAGGATATCCATGTATTGTAGACATGTAGCGAATAGCATTTGTCTTTTAAAGTCTAATGCCAGACAAAACCTGGGTAAGGAACGGTTAGAACACCGTCAGCTTATGGTCAACAGGGGATATTTCCCCTTACTTCCTGTCCATGACAATATATCAGGACAGGAAATATCCCTAAAGGGGCACAGGCCAAAAAATAACCTGGCAGTGGTTGAATTTCTTTCCCGCTCTGTCTAAAATAAAACAATTGTCTGGAGTTGGTTATAAAGTCATCCTTCACAACAACAGAAAGGCACAGCTACCACTACTGACCTTTTTAAAATGAGAGCTGTCTGGCTGTTACTATGACCTACTTTCTCCAATACTTTCTAAATCATTGACCAAAATCACAAGTCCAGATTGCATGCTCGACCTGGGTCAATGACTCAAAACATTGCAGCCAAACAGGTAGCATTTTCAGAGGGAAAAAAATCAGCAATAGTGGCCTTCAAGCACTAAAACACCGGAATACACCATTCACAAAAACGTACAAAACGTCTTGCATCTCTTAACGAGCCTTACATCTTTAGTGTGAGCACTGATGTAGTTTGCAGTTTCCGAGTCGTCCGCACACTTTGTCAGCCACTTCCGGATGGTGGCGCAGTCTGTGGGAGCATGATACATTTGGCGGCAACGAAAGCTAGGAAAAAAACAATAATACTCTGGTGGGTGAAGAAATCCTTTAAATACAAAGATTAAAGTGAACGCTCACTAATGAAAATAATTACACAATTGCAGAAAAAAAACAAGCACTAGTTATCCTTTTTTTTTTTTTTTTAGGGGGCCCCTATCTGACTCCTCCACAGACGAAGATGACGCAGTCCAGCCCTGCTGCCTCCTGGGAAGTCTACGACACCCATCCCAGGGGGCAGATGGCGAGATCTTGTACATGAGCATGTCTGCACAAGCACGGGCGACCTAGCAGAGACCCGCAGCGGCCTGCACATGCATGAAACCTCAGTGCAAGATGACAATGCAGAAACAGAGCAGTGCAAGTAGCCTTCAGCTTCCTCTATGCTACTTCCCCGAACTTCAGGTAAGGGAGCGAGCACTCAGAGTGACATGATCCCCCTCATTAGGACAACTTATCCCATCATTCCGCACGCTATTGATCCGGTTACTGATAGGAGCCACTGCAAAAAGGGAAGACCTGTGCTAAAAGGAAGACACTGTCAACATGACTGAGCAGAGAAGACATGTACGTGCAGCTATGTGATAACTTATCAACTGGGTTAAATTGCACTTTAATTATACAACATGGTATTAAAAGGGAAATGCAGAGCGTTTGTATCTATTAACATTCATTTTAAATACAAACTATATTTGTCCTTTTAAACCAGGAAAATACTGCTGTTGTGCTATTCTAGTCTTTGACGGAACGGAGCTAACTAGATCTTTGCTTTATATTGATCCAAGCCTCTGTACAGTGCATTTTAAAGATCGTTTTGCTGTTTCTCAACAATGAGTCTAATATCGCAGTGGTGCAGCAAAATCCGAGGTGTAGCAAACCGGATAACTATTTTTAAAGTCATTGAGAGTGGTACTTATGTCAGGCTGGGCTTTAAAGCAAACCTGTGTTTTTCCCATGTATGTACTATGGGGAAGGGGACAAATTGGAGTGAACCTATTATTTTGTTCTGCATAGGCACAGCACAGGTTTGTGTTGACTGTTGCACCAAGGACTTGCAATCTGCCAGTATGCCATGAAGCATCGCTCACCACCAAGAGCCACCTCCCACCTAGTGAATGTTTAAATTAAATGTCTAAAGTTCAGAATTAGGTCTATGGGTTGGGGATAGCTTGCCTCGTGATTAGCTACTCTACCCTCAGTCCATACATCTGACGTCACAGATATTTATCTTCCAGTACTCGCCGATACCAGTATTTTCGCTACCATGGAGCTGGCTTCCCGGGCAATCAGAAAGCCGAGCGGCGTGTCATTCCCCTCCGCCCAGCTTCTTAATTTGCTTCCCGTGTAGCCAGGAAGCCGTGTCCGGGGGTAAGTTTCGGAGCATTTGGGCGAGTACGACCATCATTTAGCTCTTTCTTCCCCAGCCCGACTGGCCCTAGTCGGCTACTTTCATTTATTGGATTTCAGTTCTTTCAATCATGGAGGCTCAGCATTACATGTGACTATTACCACAACTTCCTGTGTTTAGAAAGCTATGTACAGCACCCTGTGAGCCCCTCCCACCACCCAGAAGAGATGACATCACTGAGTCTAACATTAAGTATGTAATGAAATCAGAAAGACTTTATTATTTCATTAGCATGTTGATGATGATGATGATGAAAAAAAGGAACCAGGGAAGGCAAAAGATAAATGATTAAAAGGGCACTTTCTGTAAGAGTAGGTACACTGATTGACTGATTGGGGCTAGGGTTCCAACTTTTCTAGCCACTGAGTGTAGGTCAGAACCAAGAGAAAACATGCAGCATGTTTGTGTTCAGTTCACAGGAGAGTCACACAAACTTGGCACTTTTACTGCTGAACACGCCTGGCAGGTCAGCACGTCTGGGAATGACACCAATATGTAAAACTAGGACTGACCAACATGAATCCTCCGAGCACCACTCTGCATGTAGAAACTATATTTAGTTGTATCCACTATAGTGGCCTGTTTATAAACCAAAAAGTCAATGAAGCTTTTGGTAAAAAATGTCTTTTTTTTTTTTTTAAATGAAAAACAAATGATTATCTTTGTTGACCAATCATATTCTAATCTGCCCTGAACCATGTAAAGGGAGAATCTTGGTCATTACTAGGGATGCACCGATACTAGTATCAGCGCCGATGCCGAGTATTCGGGCGAGTACTCGTACTTGCCCAAATGCTCCGATGCCTAGCCCGATACTTCCGGTATCCGGAAGCCGGGCAGCGAGTCATCAAACGCTGCCCTGCTTCCTGACTGGCCGAGAATCCGGCTCCAAGCTCCCTCGTCACTTTCCAGGCAGCATGTAATGACTCGCTGCCTAGCTTCCTGATTGGTCGGGAAGCTGCCCAATCAGGAAGCCGGGCGCTGTGTAATGACCCGGCGCCCAGTTTTCTGATTGACCCGGGAAGTCGGCTTCATGCTCCCTCGTCACCTCTTGACGAGGGAGCATGGAGACGGCTTCTCGGCCAATCAGGAAGCCGGCTCCATGCATTCTCGTCACAAAATGACGAGAAACATGGGGACGGCTTCCCGGCCAATCAGGAAGCCGGCTCCATGCTTTCTAGTCACATAATGACGAGACCCATGGGGACCGCTTCCCTGCTAACCGGGAAGCCGGGTGGAGAGTCTTTACAGCCACCTGGCTTCCTTAATGGGACTTCTGGTATCGGTATTAGTACCGAAGTACTGATACCGGAAAAAAAAAAATCGGTACACGTACTCTATACCGATATCGGTGCATCCCTAGTCATTACTACAGTTAACACAGACCAGTTCCTCTTTCACATGCAAAACCTACAACCACCACTAGAGTCAATAGGGACAGAAGCACCATTTGTCAATCAAACTACAACACAGAAGACTGGAAAACTAGACGCTAGATTGACCTGTGCTGCGATATTAGTACTTACCAGAAGACTTCATTGCACCTGTTGCACTGCACTCGCCGAGCCTTTGGCTCCTGAACCTGTATGACCATAGGACAGTCTGCACCAGGGCAAAGCTGTAACTGATAGTGGCTCTGTGGGAGAGAGAGAAATTGAAAAACAATTAACAATCAGCATAGCTTGGGCAAACAAACCACATCAATATGCTGAAAAGTTTGCACGGCAAAAACCTTTTCTAGTGGTCATCACATGACAGCTATACCCTCCTTTCTTCCCCAAGCTCCTAGGGGTAAGGACTGCCAATAATGATTGCCAGCTTATGATGACATATGAAATCCCAAGCGCTCTTTAGCTTCCTGTATACTGACATAGCGTTCACATGATATAGGTGGAGATAGAGGGATAACTGACGTTCCTAGACACTCCATGTCTAGCAAAGCAAGCTGAGCAGGACTAGGAAGGGGGAAAGTCAGTCTGTGTTGCCACAGACTAAAGCACTATAGGCACACCGTGCCCAGTATGTCCCATTAGAAGTAACAAAGACACCAAACATCCACACTAGCAGAGATCTGCTTTTGTGCTTAGTATGGTCAGAAACCAGGACATTCTTCACAGGGAGACTGGCAGGACCACCAGGTATTTAGAATGGCTTTACATTTTAGTGAATAAATACATAATAGTAGTTAAGGGACAGAACAATACAGTCCCACAGTTCACTTCTAGCTTTAGTCCCAGAGTTTTCAAATCTAGCTTTTCTGTGGAATGTATAGTGTAGACAATCCACAAATAGTTTGTGGTGCACAGGTCCTCAATGAGGTGCCAACCTCGTATTAAGTCATAATAAAGTGGAAAAAGAAAAGTTGGGGTTTTTGGCGCCAATTGAAAAGTACCAATAAACTTCGAACAACAATAAAGTATAAAAATATATTTTTAATTGATATAAAAGATAAAGCATCAATAAATGCCAAGAAAGAAAGTGCACGGCTGGAGACGGCCCCACACGCATCGGCGGCAGCCGATGGTGGAGATTGCCACCAAGTTGCTTTGAGGCCCGCTTCCCTCAGGTCTCTCTGATGCTACTGTCTTTCTTGGCACTTCATAGGACCAGCCCCTGATGTGCATATTCCAGCTTCCTCCACCCAGTGAACATGTGCCCCCGTTCCGCTCAGTGCCTTTGCATACGCATCTGTGGACTTTGCACTGAGGGGACCTCCTCCTCCTGATGAAGCGCCCCACGCCGCGAAACGCGTTGAGTACAGTAATGAGAGTATGGCATTTCCATTGAGCTTTGCAAGTACTGCATCATCACCCACCAAGTGTGGTTCCACTAGAAGTTTTTGTTATTCCAGTCTATGGATGAATTTCCCTATTGATTGTATCCAACTATGAATTATTAATCATGTTTAAAAATATTTTCTGATCATGTATCATTACCTCTAGGGGGTGAAAGGAGGTTCTCTTCAAATCATGTATTTTTATATTCATATGCATTTATTGATGCTTTTTATCTTTTTTGCCTAATCAATTAAAAAATATATTTTTATACTTTGTTGTTCGAAGTTTATTGGTACTTGTCAATTGGCGCCAAAAACCCCAACTTTTCTTTCTCCACCTTATTAGAAAATCCACAATAAGCTTTTGGGAGAGGAAGGAGAAAGAGACCGAAAGAAAGGGGAAGGCGAGGGAAGAATACCTCCACATAATCCCTGAAGAGATAGCGTTTATATTTGTCTTTTAGCTCCTCAATAGGCAGTAAAGGAAACACAACATCTTCTGGCGCTCGGAGCAAGCAGTCTTGGGCCATGCAGGAAATCCCTAGGAGCAAACACACAAAGAAACCATTAGGAAACTAGAAGCGGGTCACAACCTCCCCCAACCAGCTTTTGGATTTGTGGACTCACCCACACCGACCCCGTCCTTCACCAGAACCGTGCAGTGCTGCTCCCAACAATTGCGACAGAAGTGATGCTGACAAGCCAGGAACAGCAGGTTCTCCTTCCGGACAAACTGCATGCACACCGCGCAGTGATGGGAGGAATGTGCCATTACCTGGGAACATGGAAAACATCTCCATTAGGCTGTCAACATTATAGTCTAAGCATTGCATGGCTACACATAGCTAGTCAGGAAACTGCAATAATGGTGAGATCATTTTAATAGAGAGGAATGTCACCCGTGCCCATGAAAAGCATTCCCTATTTTAAGGCTGAAAAAAGAGGAGGTATCAGCCCATCTACATGGAAATGAAAGTGGCCCTATGATGCGTGTTAGGTTTTTTTTTTACTCAGACAATTCATACCAATATCAAGCTTTCAGCCCATGTGTACCGGGCACAACTAACCACTGAAATTATCGGTGGCCAAAAGCAAATGGTTACTGCACAATACATGGATGCTGGCAAGACATGGCTTCCTTTTTTGCATTATGGCAAGTGTGACCTGCAGTATAATTAATGCATTCCCAGAAAAATCATCCTAGTCAGTTCAGCACTTGATTCCACTTCAATTCAGCATGCCGGCTATACATGTAGAGTGCTGAGAGATATTATACTGGGCAGCAAAGCTTATACGATTCTGTCCTGTGACACTGCATGCCAATAGCTGCTCAGGCTTGCTGTATATTAAGTACTTAGTAGAACTCTGACGTGTGGCTGCTTATACGGCCAGCTGTGAAACACGCCCCAGATTCCATAAAGAGAAAGGATTCACAATAGAGCTAAAGGGCACCAGTGGTGATTGTGCAGCTGAAGCAACAGCCGGGCCCATTCCAGAAACAAGAGGACAACCGAGACGTATGCAAAGTGTACTCACATTTTTAGACGATGATGGCTGAACCCTGGCGTCAACCAACAACTGAACAGAATTCGTTTTATGCCTAGAAAAAAAAAATTGAGTCGTCATTAAAGAGTACACAACACTAAGGAGGATTAAAAATAGGGATGCACAGATACCGGTATTTCGGTATAGAGTATCGATATTTTTTCTCGGTACTCGCCGATACCGAATACCGATACCGGACGTACCATTAAGGAAGCCAGGCGGCGGGTAATGACTCGCCACCTGGCTTCCCAATTAGCAGGAAAGCCGCCCCCATGCGACGAGTAAGCATGGAGCCGGCTTTCTGGCCAATCAGCAAGCCGGGCGCCGTGCAATGACGCAGCGCCCAGCTACCCGATAGGCCGGGAAGCCGGCTCCTTGCTCCCTCGCCACTACACAGCGCCCGGCATCCTGATTGGCTAGCTTCCCGACCAATCAGGAAGCCAGGCAGTGCGTCATTACACGCTGCCCGGCTTCCTGATCAGCCGGGAAGCCGACTCCATGCTCTCTGGTCACAAGTGATGAGGTAGCATGGAGTCAGCTTCTCTGCGTGTAATGACGCGCTGCCCGGCTTCCTGATACAAGAAGTATCGGGCTAGGCATTGGAGCATTTGGGCGAGTACGCGTATTTGCCCAAATACTCGGCATCGGCACCAATACCGATACTAGTATTGGTATTGGTGTATCCCTAATTTTAAAAAAATACATGCAGTACATCTCTGCCACAAGTACACATTTCCCCAAGTGTTGCCTCTTTATAACCCTGCAAGCAAAGAAAAATACAGTGAAATGTCAAATTCATGCCTGAACTGACAACATATCTGCTGCTCTGAAATCCTAAGCAGTGTGGTCAGTCCTGCCTGAAATAGAGCGGTAGAGCCAGCAGTCAGTCAATCAGGTAGCAGGTTAGACCCCGAAAATATTGCTAGGATCTTTCCCGGCTACAGCGCAGCTCTGTGCTGTCAGAATATAGCGGGCAATAGCCGGCTGTAAGCTGACAGCTTAGTAAATGTACTCCTGTAACCCAAAAGAGAACTAAGGCCAAAAAAGGTTTGGCCATAGTTCTCTTTTTAAGGCCATTTACACTGTTTTGCTGTGTTGCATTACCAAGCACTGCGGTAAGGCAGTCCAGTTATTTTGAATGTATTATGATATTACAGAAAAGTAACAGTGTAGCATTGAATGTTGAAGCTTCCCCCTTAATCCATTTTGTAAAGGAATACAATTCATGAAAATCGATGCAACTGCACCGGGGAAAAAAAATGATTATATTTAAAACTGTGTTGGTTTGCTGGGTCATCAAGTACACGAGTTGGAATGATTTAGGGCATGCTGACTCCTACGCAATGTTATCCAACAGGAAGGAGAGGTACTTACCGTTCTAAAATTTCTGAGACTTGCCAATGAAAGTGAACTAGGATGAGTTTTGCCACAGAATGAGAGACCTGCGGAACAGAAGTAGTCAGATTCTTAGTATAAAATACATAATCATGACTTTGTTTTCATTTACATGGTAGAGACAGGGTGACTGTTTGCTGCAATGACTCTTTTCTATGGTGAGATACTTGTTAATGGTGCGGCACATCTACAGGAATGTAGATTTCTCTTTTTGGGGATACATTTATAAAGTAGCAGTATGACCTATGCACATTAATAAACAGCAGCAATGTGCGATACAAATGTACATTGCTCTCCATTTGCTTTGGAGCCCGAACTCAATTTAAAGAAATGGGGGGAAAAAAGCCAGCAGGGGTACGGCTAAATCATGTGACCTCTTAAAGTCATGTGACCGGCCTCTCTTCCGATCACATTTTTCTCTGTACGGCTACATTCCACTGGACACCTCAAGACCTACACTGCAGTTTACAGGTTATTACCAGGACGTAAAAGCAGTGGTGTGGGGTAACACTTCGGTGTATGAGCATGTGGAAGTTACTGGAGTGGCTGGTTTCTATTAACCTTCAGAATAAAATAAAAAAAGAATTTGCAATTAAGTTTTCCAAGAACCTTACAATGTAATATACTGGGGGTCAGGGCAGCGGTGAAAGCAGTTGGTGTGGTAAGGAGAACGAGGATCAGCTACAGTGGTAAGAGCAAGGAAATACCCTGGATGTGCCTTTTGCTGGGTGTGGCAGTTGTGGGAGACACTGATGATTTAAAATGTCAATGTTACCACTTTGGGATGAATCACAGTGGGACTGATACGTGGCATGATGGCGACACTATTAAAAATGCTGCACAAACCCCGAGGGGACCCGGCATTTACTGACAGTGCTGCCGATATCCTCTAAACTGCAGCACTCTCCGCAGATACCAGAAATTACCTACCACCCCAGGAAGTCTCCAATCACCAATAACTTGCAACTTATACAAGCCCCATAATCTACTGAAGAGAGCCACAAATAAGTTATTAATGATGGGAAACGTCCTGTCCTGGAAGCCGATTGCTGGTTTTGTGCCGTAATTACTGCAGTTTAGAGACCAGCAGTTCTCCAAATAACCCAGTACCCCCATCACTGAAGCTCCCAGAAGCCATGGCACTGCATCTTTGATGTCGTTTCCTGAGTAATTTGACAGCTATAAGGCTGGGTTCACACCTGGGCGTTCGTAATATGCGCGTTTTTAACACGATTTGCGGTCCGCAAATCGCGTGTTTACGAACTCTATCAGGCTGGGTCCTAATAGATACGCACTGAAATCTGCCCCAAAGAAGCTCCTGTACTATTTCGAGCGTAGGGCGTTTTGCAACGCGTCAAAACGCACTGAAATACGCCCAGGTGGGAACCATGCCTATAGGAATCAATAGGATTTCAGTGCTTGAGCGTTTTTCAGCGCTTCGATCAGCGCTGAAAAACGCCTAGGTGTGAACCCAACCTAAACTTGGTAACTATACCTCTATAGTCAGAGAGTCAGTCCTTTGGACTCTGGGGTAGCTTTGCACATCCCAGATAGCAAGGATAACTTGCCACAAACTTGTAGAAGGGTTACATTGTAATTCTTTCTAACTTGCTGCACACATTCCTGGCAGGTTGTAGACTTGCAGAACACTCGCAGCACAAGTTCTAGTTGACACTTTGCGAATTTGTAGCAAATTTGCTTAGCAAGAGTTCTGCAGGTCTTAGCAAGCACGTTGATCTGGAGACTTGAAATGCAGACTTGATGTAATTGTGCAACACAATTGTGAAGCTTGGCAAGCCTAGCAATGGTTTAGCAAGTCATTGTATTACTTGCAGGTCAATTACTTGCTATCTGGGATTGTAATCGCAGGGGGAAGGGAAGGAGGTGCACACTTTCGGGTTGAAAAGGGAAGCCAAACATTGTGATGTTATAAACCTATCCTCCTTTAGTATGGAGCCCCTCCAATGTGGCAACCATCAAGCAGAAGTCCAACATCCAAATGTACAGTATTGTTTATTTCTTTCACTTTTATTTGAAACACATTGCCTCTATTTATCATCCCCACCTCCTAAACTATCAAACCTTCTACATCTTTATTTTAAACATGCAATCATTATATCAGGCTATAAGGAGGAAACAAACTCAAATTTTACTTCCTGTATTCTTTTTTATAAGTATAAATAGATAAATTCCACTTTAAATTCACATTTAACGTATTAGCCGATACTATGATCGACAGCAAAGGCAGGAAGAGTAAAGGAAAACTCAATGCCTGAGGTTAAAAAAATGGCAGCCACTAGAGGAACCCGGCCCAAGTAATCAATATGGACACAGGTTTTACGTGACCTCATAAAAGTCATAAAGTATTAGGTTCTCCGAGAGGCGGTGTGTCTAGTTACAGGCGCAGGGTCACTGCCAGATCACTGCCAGATAATAAGGACAAGGAGAGGTCTGTGGGAAAACCACAAGAGGTTCCAGTATGTTGATACAGACAGTCACTGTTTACATGCTGTGCACGGTGCAAAGCCTTGTGACAGAAAACAGGCAGCCCACTGCTATCTGCGGTACTCCATTGCTTCTAGGACTAATGAGTCAGCAGACCAGGCAGATCACGCTACCTGGACAGCCTGCCCTATTTGTTCCCACAAGCAGGCTTTACATTAACCCTTCCAGCTTACAGTGCGCTTTCATGCAATAAAGTGGTAACCGAAGCTGTAAAACAATATGCATTTTTACTGTTACCTGCAGCTTTAGGATCTCGCCTCCAAATTAAAGTAGATCTAAACCTTAAAGAACAAGGTTTGCTTAAAGCACTTTTAGTGAATGTTTGCTTTACTTATACTTTAGTTTAAATGTAAAAAGTTTTTTATGTTGTTTTTTTATTGCAAGAGATACATACTATGGGGTCGATTTATAAACCATTCGCAGAGCGAATAGCTTTGCGAACGAGATTTGCAGCACATTGTGGCCACTAGATGGAGCCGAGGAGCATAATTTCCTATGCTCCTTGGCTCCATCTAGTGGCCATTAAGTGCAACAAATCTCACTCATACTGCAAATGGTTTAAAAAAATCAAACCCCACGTCTCCTCTGCAATAAAGGATTCTTACCTTCACTATTGCAAAGATCTTAAACTGCACATTGAGCTGAGCATGTGCAGCTCAGTGTACAATCTTGGCATCTGCTAGGTGCCGGGATGAATTAACTCTGGTGCACATGCATGGGAGTTAGAGCCAATAAAGTTGACTTGAGCTCCTGAACGAAGTGGGAGAGAAGTGACGGTGCCGGCGAGGGTGCACAGCCTTTCCAGCAAAAAGGTCTTTGCCTGCCCCTTTTGAAGCGTGAGCTTGCCATTGCTGTATTGATTTCTATGGGCAAGCTGTGTTCTACTGGGAGGCAGAAACATGGCTCATCTATAGAAATCAATGGGCCTGTGGCAGAGAAAGACTGTGCGGTATCATACGGGGATGTGCAATTCTATTTCTGTTTTGCCACTGAGGAGCAAAAATAGAGGGTATTTGTATCCTTAATAATTAAGTCCTACTTCCATTTTGCCACTGGGGGGTACAGAAATAGTGGCATATCTGACATTGTGCTTATGTTTCTGGTCCCCAGGTAGCAAAGAAGAAAGTAACTCGGTGTACCTCCCCAGCCATGACAGAGTTTGATAAGCACCAACCTCAGGGCATGTAAACCTCCCCAAAGTTCAGCTCCCCTCTAAGCACTACACCAACCCATAACTTACCCCTCACATCAGATCTTGGACACACTTTGCTAGTCTAGCAATAAAAAAAGAGGCTTCACACACTGTTACTTTGTTCTGAGTGGGAATGGTGAAACGTCTCTTTAAGACGAGGGCTGGAAAGCAGGACGACTCCATAATGATTACGTTATGGAACTGCTGCCTCCCGAGGTCAGACCAGCCCCGAAATAGCCCTGGTTTGATTACCAGGATAATCTAAGTGAAAATATGATCTCTTCTTTACTCCCTTTTCCTGGAATCTCAGGAACACTACCGCAGCATTTGGGAAGTTCAATCTGACCGGAGTGGTTATTTGTCTTTTACACATTATTATTCCTTTCATAATCAGCATTGACAGGGGCTCACTCTACTGACACAGATTGTTCAACTTTACACGGCCATTTCCACTTGGAGTGTGAACGCTATCAGCACTGTTTATTTCACTCAAGGACTAGTTCCACAAGGCGAAGGACATTTCAAGCACAACTGCATCATCTGTATTTATCACTATAATGCAATCAGGCTGCATATACAGTAATAAATATGCATATCTTCATTTTTTTTTGGTCGTGACGGCGCCCCCCCTCAGTCCTGCGCCCGGGACAAGAGCCCTCCCTGCCCCCCCGGTTGTTACGCCACTGCACCCCACGTCTTCAGCAGTGACAGGCCTCCCTGCACAGTGTTCCAAGTGCTGCTTGGGGAGTTTCAAACATGACAAGGACATGGGTCCTTTTCCTCTTCTTCCAGCTTCTTTTCTGTCGGTGGGTCGGTGGTCTTCAATGATGCAGAGGATGGTGCTCACGTAATGACTGCAGCACCGTTCTCTGCAAAAATCTAAAGTGAGCCCATGCTCTGTGTCCCATGGGGGGTGTCCATGACAGGCTGACAGGAAGTTAAAGAACAACTCCGGTTAAAAACTTTATTAACCCATGCAGGAAGGAAGGGGGGGGGGGGCACCAT